TGAAAAAATTTTAATTTATTAAAAATACAAAAAAGAATATTAAAAAAATCATTAGTATAAACACCTTATAGTATTTGCACAAAAAAATGATTAATTGGCGCGTCACTGATATAAAATAATAGATTCTTTTCGACTTAATATTAACTACCATTTAAGCTTTTACATGATAGAGCTTTTGATTCGAAATTATGGCTTATTTAACTAAATTTGATTTTCTGATTTAATCTTTTCTTTTCCATCATCCATCATTTCTTGCTTTCCATCATCAAATTTTTGCTTTCCATCATTAAATTTTTGCTTTCCATTTTCAAATTTTTGCTTTCCATCATCCATAATTTCATCAAACATATGCTTTCCATCTTTAAATATACCATTTCCATCATCAACTATTTTTTTTATACCATTTAGATCTACTCTTTTTTTTTTCATTCCTAGTCCAAATATTTCGAGTGCTGATTGAATACTCGTAATAAGGATCATAATTACAGTTGAACATAGTGTACAAAACGGAATAATACTATAAGTAACAATGAAACGAAAATATATAATCTATTTAAATAATTAAATAAAATATTTGAATCATTAATTAGTAAAGAAAAATATAAGTGTTTGATGGTTAAATAAATAATTAAAAATAATAATAAAAATTTTACCTGAATAACTAGTTGTGGGACATTTTTAATAAAGATATCAGCAAAAGCTCTATATTTAATTGTAGCCTTAAAATCTTTATTAAATATTTCAGTTATATTTGTTACAATTAAATTAGTATCACTATTATATAATGAAAACGCAATTAATGCATATTTCTTTAAGTCCAGAGATTTTTTATCGAATCCTTTTCTGCATAAAATATAGATATACATAGCAATATTTATTGCTAATGGAATAGCAAAGATGACTTTACTGTATTTTTTTTTTACATAAAGGTAATTAATAAGATCATTAAACCATTTAATACCGAAGGCATTTGACGAAATAAATACCTTGGTATGCTAAACTCTGGTTTACTGTTAGAATCACTAAAAGTAAATGTAGTTGTAAGACCAGAATGAGCGCCAACTAATAATCCGCCTGTAATAAAGTTGAGCGTTCCTGCAAGATCTTCTTCTTTTTCTTCAGGCAAATCTTCCTCGTCTTCAAAATCATGTTTAGTCTAAAGAAAATATTCAAAGAAGTATGTCTATATTTAAGATCATTAAAAGATGTCAACTGAAATGATATGATTGAAAATTTTACGTTTTTAAGAGAATAGCCGTAAAGCAATATATTCAATCCAAAAGCCAGAAAAATAGGTATAAGTTGTCCTTTATGATCTCCCCATAAACCACCACTCGATTTAAAGCCATAAGTCTGATCCAAATCATTTGTTAAACCACTGGAGAAAGTAGTGATACTCTTATATGTAATCATATTATCTAAATCTGATACCACTCCCGGAACAGAATTTTCAGGTGATTTTTTATTTGTCATATTTACGCGGATAGAAAATTGAACTCTTATATCAGGTCCATTCTGAACATACTGATAGCTTCCATCGGGGACAGTTAGACGTTCACGTCGGACCGGTAATTTGTCAGAAATTTCTTGTAGTAACGAATCAAAGTACCCTGTTGCGTTTGCAGCAACAGTAGCTTGAAATCTTTGAGTTGCATTTGTAGTAAGATAAGCTAAACATATAGCAGCTTCCTCTGTAAAGAAGTGTAGGAAGAATTTAAGTAAAAAAATTTTTAGGTTATGAAGAACAATTTATCATAACTACTATATCGCGAGTAAAATGAAAACGGTCAAATAGTAACGCATAGTGCCGTTTTACACCTATTTTTTAAATTTGCACATATATGAAAAGTAATTTTTTATTTAGTAAATCTTGATGACTCCGTGTCTTTTCACCAACAGTCATTTCACCGATAAAAACTGGTTAACCCTAACCCAAGGCCGTTCCAAGTTGATTCTTAGGTTAACGTCAGAATTGGGGGGAGATAAATTTTAAACAAACACTAATTTTAAACCAACACTCGAATATTTTTTTTCTCCGTTTACATCGTTTCTATGTAAATTCTGTTATATGATTGGCTTGTTTAATTTTAGGGGGGACAGCTAAAGGACAGAGGAGTGACGTTAACCCTAAATCGGGCTAATATGTCGGTGAAATGACCTTTTCGGCAAAATGAGTGAACGGAACCGAACTTGGTTTAATTAAAGATTCGGTAAAATTGGCATAATAGGGTCACAATTTACGTTTACAATCGCAAGACTTAAATTGCTTTATACCTCGCGATTTACAAGATTTACTTAGTATTATAGTTTTCATTATTTGCAGTTAATGATGGGCGGGATTTTTAATATGTTAAAGCCAGCCGGCCCGCCCGCATTGACATAATTAAGAAACCCACAAGGTCATCTCTATCCCGCACGGGATATTTGAGAAACCCACATCACAGAAATTTTTAAAAAATACAAATAAAACAGCACCATATATTATTATATTGGTATAGCGATTAATTATATTACCTGAAGGTCTTGCATTATAATCTAAATTGTAAAAATATCAATTGACGAAATAAATATATAAAATCAAATAAATAAATAAAAGAAGAATAAAACGACAAAATATTACTTGAAATATAAGTCATAATCCCTTCACCAATTCCTGCTAGAGGTTCAT